TACTATATCAACATAGCTTCGTTATAAAAAAAATTGAATGCGACGGCATATAATAAAAACTGTAATGCCGAGCTTCTAAGTTATTTAGATCATAGTGAACTGAAAAAGTGCGTGACATAAATACAAAATTATCTGATAAAAGATTCAAAGCAGAAACTCCGAAGGAAGAGTCCCAAAAATGTTCAAACCCTTTTGCACATTCAATAAATACTATAACGGCTCTTTCAATTATGACTTCTCGGGCAGCTTCATTTGCGCAATTTTTCACATTTTTCGAAATGTCCTTTAATAATTTGTATACATTTCCCAGTTCTCTTCATTGAAGAAATGAGCATTTCTACTCATGGAAATTATATTTGCCATGGTGTCGGTCAGCAATGGAACCTTTCCACTTTTGAAACTCTCGCTTAAATGCCAACGATGATACAGTGGAGAAGGTCAGGGTCGATGATTCGAAACACTGGGTATCACTTAGGCCTTGAAAAAGTCGAACCGTTTAAAATTAAAATTCATCCTAACCCGGGGCACACTTTCCGAACGGATAGGTCGAATCGTACAGCAGCGGAATGCCACGAGTGGTAAAGTATTTTCCTTCAGCCCTCCAGTTAAATAACCGGGAAACTAACGATGGAAAAAAATTCGAAAGCATTATAAAAGAAAAAAAGAAACACGTGAATGGGTTAAATTTGTTCAGAGTTAATAGCGCTTTGAGAGTTTCACGCCGCCGCCGCCGGTCTTAGAAGACCTCTGAGGTACAGGATACTGTATATTAGTGCGTGAACCTTTGTTTTCTTTACGTGATGCATGCATGCATCTGGGACACTATCCCGGTGGGAGGCCGAATTATTCCAACCTGTCATGATGTCCATTGCATTAAATGAAGCAGCTTCTGGCTCGATCGGCCCACCTGGTTGATAGTCTATACTCTATAGCTATACGGTTCACAAAAAGTTTTTCTTGAACTGCCGTTGTTGGTTTGCTGGATGAAGATATTTCTCAACGCCTCGCATAATGGACTTTTCCCCCAAAAAATACTGTATTGGCACTGCCACCAATTTCAATCAAATTTTTAGATTGGACTGCTCTTTGAAGGCAGATACAAGTCGAACCTCTCTACGTTGAATTTCGAAGGACAAGAAATTTTTTTTTTACTTAGCCAACGAGGTTTTGCATTAGGGATACAACCATTTTTGGCGTGGGAAACGTAAAAGAATTGCAGGAAATTGTAAATGATGATATTCTGGGCCTTAAATTGCTTCTTAAATGAGTTGAGGCATGCGTTCATGTGCACAATCAGTTTTTCACTTCATTTCAAAACACATTGTTACTTTTTTCATTGTTTTTCACCTTCCTGTATTCAGAAAATATTATCCAAGAGGCCTCGGAGAATTCAAGTTACAGAGGTTTCAGATGAAAAGGCTTCAAGTTAGAGAGGGTTTTAATACTTTGATTCTCATGAATTCAGATGAGGACTTGAAACAATTTAACTTATGGAGGTTCGAGTTATTGAGGTTCAAGTTTTTCAACTACTGTAGAATGAAAGAGGGATTTTACAGTTAATACCATATTCACTCAAGTGCAATACCATGTGCCATCACCTAAGACTAGCATACGTTTTTGAACAGTACACAAAGAAAAGTGAATCCTTGCGCAAGTCACACCAACTTACTTTCCGTGAAAATCATAAAATTTCCCCAGAGATTCATTTAGTATTGCGGTAACAAGCTCGTAGGCAGCTTTTCTATACCCATGAAATCTAGATGAGAAAATATTTGCAGCATTTTTGAAAATGCAGTTTTAGTTCGCTTTTCATTCTCGTGAACCAGGTTTCAAGGTTAATATTTGAAAGAAGGCGAGTCGAGCTTGATGCAGTTCAATGGATCCGGCCCCGATCTCCAGCATTGATTTTCTGCTTCATCATGACGGAAAGAATATGAAGAATTCCAAGATCTGTTGAGTTTCGAGGAAAATTGAAAGGTCAGATTTGTTTGAATACAATCGCACGAGTGGACGAAATCGTCATGGGTAACAATATGAAACGTTTTTCCCGGTCGTTCGTGACATGAATCACCCAATTGAGCGAAATATAATTGTATTTCCCGCTGCTCGGATCGCAGCCACCTGATTCAATAAATTTTGATGTGAACTGAGAATAAAATCAGTTGTGTGAAAGACATACATTTTTTCATGATACATTGTTCATCTAAAGATAATCAAAACACCCCAAGTCTTGCGCATTTTGATATGTTCAGGAACAATTCTCCATTGTGCTGGGATATTGATGACTCAGAACTTTCGCTATTTATTCTTCTCATTCGTTTATCAAACTGCAGGAATCTAGCATTGATGTTGGCATAAAGACGATCTTTTTGCAATTTTTGCAATTTCCGTATCGTATCCAGAATTTTTTAAGTTTTAATAATGTAGTCTCCGTTAATTGTCCGGGGCTCGCATCCCATATACGAGGGGGGTACACAGTTCCACGCGGATCAGTTTGTTGCTGCTGTTATGGGGAAAAACTTCAAAATAAAAAAGTGAACATTTTAAAGCATGTTTAAACTCATGGATTAAAATGGCTGAGAAGTGTGTACAAATTGGTGGGGATGATATTGAGAAGGTGTCTGCCTTGCCTCTTGGAACTGGTGAACATGGGGGAAATGTTTTTTTTTTATTCCCTGCTGGTGTTGGGTTAATTTCAAGTCAACATGGAAATGTGTAACCCCTTGTAGTGAATCAAGACTCAAGAGTGTCCCTAAGTTGAATTGTCCCTTAGGTGAGTCTTGTTTTCCCATATAGACTTACATTATATAATTTTCAATTGGTGCTTTATGGAAGAAATATTCTTCAGAATTCCATGAAAAAAAATTTTTGCCCCTTGAATTTGATTCAGTGAATATATTTTCAACTCAATAAGAACATTTGGAGCATTGAAAATAGTGTACGCTACATTGAAGTGTTTGCATCTGCAAAAAGGACATTCAAGTCACAAAGAGAGAAGGAAGCCCCTCTACCCAATAGGTTTTTTTTAATTAGCTGAATGGATGAGAAAATTATGGGATAAATGACGAAGAGTTTTTTGTTGCATGAATCTCAGGGTTGGAAATACAGTATCTTTTTCTTGCAATCAAGCCTCATAAAAGTCAATTTTTGTTACAATTAATGGCAATTTTATCATGCAATGTCCTCATGTTGAGTCAGTGTCCATATGTTGGGCCTTTCTTCTGCCTTTTTTTAGTGAAAAATGAATGTCCCTATGTCAAATTGTCCACATGTCAAGGTGTCAGCGCACTGCACTTTTTTCAATGTTTCAGCAATGATTAAAAAAAACAACAGCTCTGGGACATTCTCTTTTTTCCCACGGGGTATATGGCGAGAGCAATCGGAAGCGATTACCGGCATCATGGAGTCGTCCTTATTAACACCTGCCGNGAGTGTCCCTAAGTTGAATTGTCCCTTAGGTGAGTCTTGTTTTCCCATATAGACTTACATTATATAATTTTCAATTGGTGCTTTATGGAAGAAATATTCTTCAGAATTCCATGAAAAAAAATTTTTGTCCCTTGAATTTGATTCAGTGAATATATTTTCAACTCAATAAGAACATTTGGAGCATTGCAAATAGTGTACGCTACATTGAAGTGTTGGCATCTGCAAAAATGACATTCAAGTCACAAAGAGAGAAGGAAGCCCCTCTACGCAATAGGTTTTTTTTAATTAGCTGAATGGATGAGAAAATTATGGGATAAATGACAAAGAGTTTTTCTTGCATGAATCTCAGGGTTGGAAATACAGTATCTGTTTCTTGCAATCAAGCCTCATAAAAGTCAATTTTTGTTACATTTAATGGCAATTTTATCATGCAATGTCCTCATGTTGAGTCAGTGTCCATATGTTGGGCCTTTCTTCTGCCTTTTTTAGTGAAAAATGAATGTCCCTATGTCAAATTGTCCACATGTCAAGGTGTCAATTAATGGCAATTTTATCATGCAATGTCCTCATGTTGAGTCAGTGTCCATATGTTGGGCCTTTCTTCTGCCTTTTTTTAGTGAAAAATGAATGTCCCTATGTCAAATTGTCCACATGTCAAGGTGTCAGCGCACTGCACTTTTTTCAATGTTTCAGCAATGATTAAAAAAAACAACAGCTCTGGGACATTCTCTTTTTTCCCACGGGGTATATGGCGAGAGCAATCGGAAGCGATTACCGGCATCATGGAGTCGTCCTTATTAACACCTGCCGCCAGAAAACATCGCTCACAGCATCTACTCCCCGCGGATAATAATTCTTCCCGCGCGCCGAAAACAAGGAACTCGCGGGTTCGAGAAAAGAAAATACGGATCACGAGTGCGTATAGACAAAACCCGAGAGGAAGAAGAAAACACGCGAGCAAATGGCCGCTGTTTGCGCATCCATTTTTATGCCGACAAATGCGCCCTCAGCAGCACTCGGTCCAATAAAAGGCGACGTTTTGCCGACACAGAGAAAAACGGCAGATGCGGTGGGGGTGCTAAACGGGGGCTTGTGCCGCAAGTAAATAATCGGCGGCTTTTGCCTCTCCGGCACAGAAGGTAATTTACTCCGCCCCGGAAAGGGAATTAACGCGTGACGCAATATGAGCAGCACACGGGCTAATTACCTGAGTTCACCGGTTCATCCGTCTCTTATATGTGCGATCCATGTGCGATCCTTTTTTTTTCCTGATATTCCCCCGCGATGTCCGAGTTCTACAATCACATATATTTCAAAAATTTAAATCTCGGACTGCAGACGAGTCAGGAAATTTATTGAAATTCAACGTTGTAAAAATAAATTTCAGAACATTGTCATAAAATTCAATGCAGCAGCTTCAACCTCCGAAAATGATTGCTACTTGAAGATCTTTTTTTTTTTTTCTGATCCTCGTTCATGTTTGAGACGCTTGACCGAACGAAATTCGCTGCACAGCAGTGAAGGAATAAACTGGAACCCTTTCTCGGAACCCTTTCTCCCCCAAGCTTAGAGGCGAAGTGTGATTCGAAGTAAATAAAAACCAAAATTGTTATTCGTTATTTCGCTCGCAAATTTTACAGAAATTAGGAAGTATGGAAGAAAGTTCTGCGGAAAATCCCGCATCACCGGCTAATAATCGAACATCAGTTCACGACGGAGATGAGCCACAGCCCATGAACAGTCCGACTCCATTAGTAATTCTGTCACCTGACTTGCAGCCATCTGGATTGATTTATAGGGAACCTTCTAAGGTTTCGATCAATCACAAGCTTTCCACTGAGTTTGGCTTCAAAAGAAGCTCTTCTCGTGGATCATTCGGTCCAGGTGTTATTTCCACCTTATTCATGCGAAGCCGAAGTCTTACTTTTCAAAATATCAATTCCGCCTGCGTGGAATTAATCAACGCAAAATACTGCGTTTTAAGAATTACAGCGTCGATTTTCCCTTGATGATAAAGTGCTCAGGTTATTTCGCAATAAGTGAAAAGGTCTAGAAGATGATTGTCATAATTTAATCTCTAAAAAGAATAAGAAATACTGTACACAGTTACTCATTTTGTGTAGCACTTGATGTTTCCTCTCAATTTGGATTAGAAGTTAAGGCACCCAGAAGCGTTAAATGCTTGCCAATGGCACAAAGAAACTTAAAAACGGTCCTTTTAGCGACTATCTAACCGTTTCTGAAGCTTTAATGCATCCTGCCCAACTCATATTTTTATTACATAATAAAGTGGTTCCTTGTATGCACAAGTTTCAAAATCTGAATCTTTCAAACCAATGCGGGATTAATCTACTGAGAGTCTACTGAGAAAGCTTGCATTAATTTTGTAAGGATTTTATACAATTGCAGTCCTACATTGTGCATTTCTCGCTTGACTTCAGAAATCCTGAGTTGAGCGTAAATTGATAAACAGTTTACGAATGATGCATACATTTCTTCGTCCTTATGTTGCGTAACAATGAGAGATTCTAAAGCAAAAAATTATCTTAATTTATAAAAAGGTCAAAATACAGTACCAAATAGAGCGAGATAAACTTCCGAAAATAGATCTGTTGACACAGTAATTTCTGGCGGGCAATGAATGAGCGTATGGTCATTTTTGAAGCGGAATATGGAATGTAGAAAATTTTGAAAAAAAGAAAACGCAAATTAGCTTTAAATGTTTTGCTTGAAATCTACATTGTCAGATGAAAGCTTCATGTTTCGAAATTTCTGCAGAACGCAATGGACCGCGAAAACTTCCGCAAACTTCGATGAGTCAAGCTTATCAAGACATCAGCCCCAAGTTTTGCCTACCCGCAGTTCTCCTAGAATTCGCTGGCATCATGTTCACGGCTTTCT